TTTGGATCGGTTTGAGAAAATGAAAACCGAATTATATCGGTTTGGATTCGGTTTTGGGATTTTAAAAACCGAAAACCGAACACCGAACCGAAATTTATAAGCCCAATTATCTCAGCCCATTTTCCTACATATATATACCCAAACCTTAAATAATTTCCCTCTTTTCCCTTTTCCCTTTCAGAGTTTCAGTCACTTGCACTTCTCTTTCCCTCACTAAAACCCTAGATTTTCCCTCATCTCTCCCTCTCACCACCTCACTCCGTTCGTCCACCACCACCAATCCACCACCTCACTACTTCCTGCTTTCCTTCTTTCCTACTTACCACCTGTGTTCCGTTCGAGTGTTCCAACGCCGGCCGCCGCTAACCACCTGTTCGAGTATTCCGGTATGCTTTAATTTCAATATTTCATATTTCACTTCTCTTTTCCTACTCGAATTGCATGTTTTCTTTGTTATTTTGAATTTCAGATTTCACTTGCACTTCTCTTTTCCTGCTCGAATTGCATGTTTTCTTTGTTATTTTCGAATTGGTGATAGATTGTTTTCTTTGAATAGTTATTATGCTCGAATTGCTGATATTCCTTCAGAGTTCAGAATATATGTTGTTCTATTATAGTATTATGCTCGAATTGCATGTTTTCTTTTTGATAGATTGATTGTTTTTCATAGATTTGCATAAAAATTGTTGGTTATTGAGTGAGTTCTTTTTTCTGTTTTAAATCAGATTATCAGAATGTCCACAAATATGGATAATGTTGAAGGGAATGTCCCTATTGAGGAGCATGAATCTGACAATGAAAAATCCAAACCCAAGAGGAAGAGAATGAAGGATCGTTCCGAGGTTTGGGAGCACTTTATCAAGGAAGAAACACACACTGGAATGGAAGCACGTTGCAAGTACTGTGGTATGAGATACAAGTGTGGTACAAAGAGAAATGGCACTAGTCCATTGTGGGCTCATATAAATAGATGCCGTAAGTACCCCTATAATACTCCTAAAGAATCAAAACAAAGTTTGTTGTCTTTCAAAAGCAATAAAATTGAAAGTGGTTGTACTAGTGGATTGTCTTATGTGAAATATGATCCAACTGTAATTAGAAAAGCTTTATCTGAGATGGTTATAGTTGATGAATTGCCTTTTAAGTTTGTTGAGGGAGTAGGCTTTAAACAATTTTGTAATGTAATGGAGCCTAGATTTCATGTCCCTTCCAGAATTACTGTGGCTAAAGATTGTTATGAAACTTTTTTAACTCAAAAAAGAAAGCTGAAATTGGTATTAAAAAAGTGTAACTCAAGGGTTTCATTAACAACCGATACATGGACATCTATTCAGCAAATTAATTACATGTGCTTGACTGTTCACTTTGTTGATAATGACTGGAATTTGCAAAAACGTATTCTGAATTTTTGTCCTATATCAAGTCATAAGGGGGAGGAAATTGGGAAAGAAATTGAGAAATGTTTGCTTGATTGGGAACTTGAGAAAGTATTTTGCATAACTGTTGATAATGCTAGCTCAAATGATACCGCAATAGGATATATGAGAAGGAAAATAAATGGTTGGAAAGCTGGGGTTCTTAAGGGTCGGTTCCTTCATATGCGTTGTGTTGCTCATATTGTGAATTTGGTTGTGTCTGATGGCTTGAAAATTGTTAATGAGTCTATTACTCGTGTGAGACAAGCTGTAAGATTCATCAAACAATCCCCTTCTAGGTTGGTAAGGTTTAAAAAATGTGTTGTGGAAGAAAAAATCACTCTAAAAAGTTGTTGTGCCTTGATGTGCCTACTAGGTGGAATTCCACCTTTTTAATGTTGGATGCTGCTTTGGTGTTTGAGTATGCTTTGGAGAGGTACTCTGAGGAGGACCCTCATTATGTGATTGAGTTAAATGAGAGGGAGGGGAAGGGCTGCCCTACTTCTGAGGATTGGGAAACAGTCAGAAGGTTTTCTGAATTTTTACAAGTCTTTTATGATCTTACGTTGCGTGTCTCTGGGTCTTTGCATGTGACTTCCAATTTATTTTTCCATGAATTGGTGAGTGTTGCTGTCCTTTTGAAAGATTTGATGACAAATGATGATGTGGAGATGTGTCTTATGGCTACTAAAATGAAGGAGAAATATGACAAATATTGGGGTGATCCGGAGAAAATGAACATGTTGATTTTTATTGCTGTTGTGCTTGATCCTCGTTATAAGTTAGATTATGTTGAGTGGATGTTAATTGAAATTTATGATTCTAAGCATGCATTTGTTTTGGTGAATAATTTGAAAGAGTCTTTGAATGCATTGTATGAGGAGTATCGTGGTTCTTCTGGTGATGTGATTAGGGAGGAAGTGTCCTCAAGTATGGACAGTTCCCAATTTTCTCCCAAACAAAAGAAGCTTCAGGTATTGAAGAGTAAGTATAAGAAACATAAGTGTGAGAAAGATGGAGAAGCAAAAATTGAGTTAGACAAATATTTAGAAGAGGAAACGGAGGAGGAATGTGAAAATTTTGATATTTTGGGGTGGTGGAAGTTTAATAGTGCTAGGTTTCCAACAATTGGAAGAATGGCCCGTGATATACTTGCTGTCTCTATCTCAACAGTAGCCTCTGAGAGTGCATTCAGCACTGGTGGTAGGGTTCTAGACCCATTTAGGAGCTCCTTAACTCCAAGGGTCGTTGAAGGACTTGTTTGTGCTCAAAATTGGCTACGTTCTTCTCCCTTTCCTAATATAGAAGAGTGTTTACAAGAAGTTGAAGATCTTGAAGAAGGTAACATAAAACAACAATTATCATGTTATTTTTTTTCATTATTTCATATATATTATGTAACTTGTTTATTTTTTTTTAATGTTATTAGACTTGAGGAATATGACAATTGGTGGTCAAAACCCGGACTTGGTTGAGCTTGATTGAGAGTTAGCTGCCAAGAATGAAGCTGCCCTATTGATTGAAGACTTGAAGTTTCTGCCAAGAGCCTAAGAATGAAGCTGCCCTGTTGGTTGAACTAGTTCATTTGTGGACTGTTTGTCTGTTTTATTATCAATTCATCATGTGGACTGTTTTGATAGTTTTAAGACTTGTTAAGTTCTTATGTCTCAATGTGGACAATGTGTAAGTGTATTTAATTACTATGGCAGTATGGCTGGACAATTTAGTTACTATGGCAGTATGGCATATGGTTGTGACTTGTGAAAGTTGTATGTTAAAATTTATGCTTTAATTTTGTTCAGGAACAGGTACAAAATTTAGGCCTTTAAAAGGCCCAAAATTATATGCCCAATAAAAAGCCCAGATTTTAAGGCCCAATACAGCAGCCCATAAAAATTCGTTTTGGATTGGATTTAATTCTCAAAACCGAATTATTTCGGTTTGGATTGGATTGGATTGAATCCAAATTCGGTTTGGATTCGGTTTCAAAAATCCGAAACCGAAATAATTCGGTTTGGGGTGTAATCCAAACCGAATACCGAACTTTCACCCCTACAAGAAACTGCTTGATTTCAGTTTTGTATCTGTAGATCCGGTCTGTGACAGTGGTGAGGGGACTTCTGTGGCCACAAAAAACGCTAGATCTAAGAGGGCTAGGCCACCTACGAAGATCCGGGCTAGAAGGAAGGCGGCGTTGGTGGCTCGAAGGCGGATGCGTGGGTTGCCAGATGTGCAGTATGTTGTTCAGTCCTCTGATGATGAGCCTGAAGAGGAGGAGGCTTCATCACCTCCTCCTAAGAAGGCTTGCCCTCCTTTGCTGCACGTTGAGAGGCGGATGAACCCAAGGGTTCAACCCTCGAACTGACTGCTTGCGTAACGATTCCTAACCCTAAATTGACAATTTTTTTTTTGAGTCCCTTTGCTTTGATTTATTTGATAGTATGTTGATTTGATCTGGTGGGTTGAAGGCTATGTTGCTATTTTCTGATCTGGTGGGTTGATGGCTATGTTGCTTATTTCTGATGTGGTGGGTGATGGCTATGTTGCTTATTTCTGATCTGGTGGGTTGATGGCTATGTTGCTTATTTCTGATATAGTGGGTTCTGATCTGTTGGATTGTTGGATTTTTGGGTCTGTTGAGTTCATTTCTCTAATACTCGGATTGTTGGTTGTCTGATTGTGTTGGGTTATTGTACCTTTTCCCTGGTTTCTGATTGTGGTGGCTTGTTGTCTAATCTGTTGGATTATTGGATGTTTGGTCCTGTTGAGTTCATTTCTTCGATATTCACAGTGCTGGGTGTTTGGTTGTGTTAGGTTGTTGTATCTGTTGGCTGTGTTTGTTGTTTTTGATCAAGTTGGCTTAATGTATGTTCTGGTGTGTTTGGCTGATCTGTTGGTTTGTTGGAATATGCTGGCTTGTTGGACTTTACATCCTGTCCTTCTGATTGTTGTTGATTATTGGGTAGTCAGTCCCTTACTGGATGGATCTGTTAGTTTTTGATTAATTTGATGGATTATGTTGGCTATGGGGATTTGATTGATGAATGATGAGGCTGATGTGTTGTTGTTGTTTATTATTGGCTACCCACTCCCTTACTGTTTTACAAATTTCTTAAAGGAGTCCCCTTTGATTTTCTTTTGTATCCTGATTTGTATTGAGTCCCCTATTGTAGTGTGTTGTTTACCTTATCCAAATCCACATGATAAAGGGACTCCATTGAATTTCACTAAAAACAACTGTTTTGCTCCAACATTTTGCTTAATGCTCTTGTTGTTGAGGTAACCTTGTGACTTAGTGTTGTATTCAACAATGACATACAAACCTTCTGATGGATTGGGTGCCCACATAACAACTGATTTTTGTCATTTATATTCCATTCAAAATGTGGGTAAAAAAGGATTATACCTTCATCAAAAGACTTTACAACAGACTGCCTTACATACTTGAATCATTGTAATCAACAAAATACACTTAACCAACTGGTAACTGAATAATAAAAAAAAAAAAAAAAAAAAAACAGATTAACATAGCTAAGTGGTTATGTGTGGCAGTCCATGTGTTGTCTCATTGATGTGATGAGTCCCCTAATCTGCATCTACCTCCATATCTTCTGTTGCTTCTTCATTGCCTTGATTTGCTGGCCTAAACATAGTGTATAGGTACTCCACAGCCTCCACCACTACTTCCTTCTGCACTTCTGCTTCATCTGGTAGAATGCCAAGATTTTCAAGCTTTTTTTTGGTTCATGTGGAGTATTTTGTACTTGTTCCCACCTTCTGCCTTGAGGATCTTTATCATGCATTTTTGCAAAGTAACCCAGATGTACTTGTTAACTTGGGAATTGAATGTGTCATAAGAGTCTCTCACTTTTTCAACTAGCTCATCTAAGTCTCTAGGAAAAGACTGATATTGCAAAGATTGAATAGACCTAAATAACCCTAAATCAAGCACATTCAAATCAGGTGACTGTGCTGGCTGAAAAACAAAGTTTATGTTGAACCCATTTGCTGTTGTTGCTACCATAAATTCTGCATCATTAGGAACTTGGTGAGGCCTTGCATTGTCCCATTGGATGACAACATTTTTGGCGAGACTTTTAGGCCACTTTGAGATGATTGCTGGTATGACCTTTATCAGCAACATATCTCTAATCACTTCTCTGTTTACATTCTGGAGTGCCTTTGTTTCCAAAGTTCCTTTGGATCTTTTTTTGCTTGATTTCTGTGCTACTTGCTGGACAGTAAATGGGAATATGACATACTTCCCATCATGTAGGAGTTCCCCATTTCTGTCATACATTGGCTTCCTAATAATTGCCATAAACATTGCCTTCAGCTTGAATCTTTTTTACTGCACTGCCATGTATGGATCCTCCTCAGTTGGCAGTAGATAAAACCGTCTTTTATCAGGGTTCAAATAGAACCACTTCTCATCTATGTGTATGACATGTTTCATGTCAACAAATGTGGGGTCCTCATTACCTGTAATTGGATTTATATGTGACAAAATCCATTTGAGTCTGGCTACCTTATGATCTGATGTCAGTGCTGGCTTATTGCAGTTTGTGTGTGTTCTTAGTCTTCCCCTTTTCTTCAAATTGTGAACAGTAACATGACTTATCTTTAGTGCTCCTGCATAACTTCTTTCTGTCTGCCTTAAATGCAAAGGGATTGCCTGTAGAATTTCATCAGATATTTGCAATGGCTTTCTCCCTATTCTGCCATACTTCTTAATCCTGACATCAATCAAGTCCCCTTTTGCCAACTGTGTTTTTATTTTTGTGAAGATTCTTGTGATGGTGGATTTGTGAACATTGAATTGAGATGATAAATGTTTCATGTGACCCCTTGGTAATCTTCCCTCATGCATTTTGACCAACATTGCATCAACAATTTGTCTTCTTTTGTGCATGGTGAGTTGCTTTCTGTCTGCCATTTGAGTCCCCTGATGAAATGGTTGTTGCATTTGTGAGGAAGCAACCTCAGCTTCTGTGTTTTGCTGGCCCTGTTCTCCTTCTTGGTTGACTTGCATGTTTTCATCTTCAGATTCATAGTCCCCCATGCCTGCGTCTTGCATTTCTTCTTCATGGTCATACCACAATTCTGCCATCTGTTCTTCATTTAGTATGTGATCAACATCGAAAAACACAGCATCAACAAATTCTGCCATGTGTTTTTCTTCTTCAGCAAAGCTTGATGATGTAGGGGGGCTCCTCAGTTTTGGAGTACATGAAAGGATGCAGCTTGATGTGCAGGACTGATTTCAGCTTAGCCGATTTTTTTTGGGTGTTAATAGGCTGGTTAATGTGTAATTACTGCTAACTTAATGATGCATGAAGGCTTTATATGCCTTAATTGGATTCAAATTTGTGCTGCTAACTTTGTTTTTGTAAACATTTAATGTGTTAGAATAGAGGCTGGTATTTATAGCCCTCTTAAATGATGAATGAAGACTTTAAATGCCTTCAAAAAATTCAATTTTTTGGTGAAAATTTGGGGGAAATCCACCCCATGTGTAATTCTGCCAGATTTTCCCACCCACCTTTGCAAGTGGGTGGCCCTACTTTCTCTCTCCTATCTCTTTAATTAAGTACACTTACTTTTCTTAATATTTGCCCTTCAATCTTTTACATCGTAAACCGTTTTATGTGCCAAAATTGAACATAAAAATAAACAGAGGTAGTATAAAAATTTGTGCTTTTACAATTATCGAAGTAAGTCTCATTTGTGGCTTGAAAACATATTTATGAATCAAATATCTCAATAATTATTGCATGCATATTTCATACAAATAGTACTGTACTAAATAAAGCAGAAAATAAAGATATAACTTTGACGGTTGTTACTGGTCTACTGGCTGGAGAAGTGGAGAATGATATTATTTACTTTATTCTAAAATAATGGCTTTGCATAGTATTTTACGTGTTTTTCGATGCACAAATAACATTTGTTAAAGGAAATTTGATGGATAGTTTAAAGCTAGTAATAAATTAATAATCGAGCAAAAGGAGATTGCATTGGGTCCCGAAAAAATCTGAAATGTTTAAGTAAAAAGCATGATGATTTTGATCCTATTTTGTGGATCCTTTACTAAAAAACATGAATATGTATGCTGATAAGTAGTACTCCGATTAAAATGATCTTAATTCAATCCATATGTTGTCATTTTATTTACTACTCCCACGTCCTATGAATATTGTTGCGCGTAGCCCACATTCTCATAGCCGGGTGTTTTGGTGGAAGTATATGTCCGTGTTTAAGAAGATTCCAAATAATTCAAACAACGGTCATTTGAAATTAAATATGACTATCATATTATTATAATGATAAATAATATAATTACTTCATTTTTTCATATAATTATACAGGCATAAATATAATTTTTGAAAATTTTAAGTCCACATTAAATAAATATTTTTTGATAAACTATAAAATATAAATAAAATTACAAAAATGAAACTAAAAATGTGTTAAATGAATATTTTTTGCATGCATTATTCGTAGTAGTAAATAAAGATATAACTTTGACAGTTGTTACTGGTCTACTGGCTGGAGAATGATAATATATACTTTATTCTAAAATAATGGCTTTGCATAGTATTTTACGTGTTTCACGATGTACAAAAAAACATTTGTTAAAGGAAATTTGATGGATAGTTTAAAGCTAGTAGCCTAGTAATAATGGAGCAAAAGGAGATTGGGTTGGGTCCCGATAAAACTCTGAAATGTCTAAGTAAAAGCACGATGTTTTTTATCCTATTTCGTGGATCCTTTGCTAAATAAAATGGATATGGATCCTTATAATTAGTACCATATCCAATTAATATGATCTTAATTCAATCCATATGCTGTCATTTTATTTACTACTCCCACGTCCTATGAATATTGTTGCGCGTAGCCCAAATTCTCATAGCCGGTTTTTTTTTTTTTACAAGAAGCCGGGTGTTTTGGTGGAGTATATGTCGTGTTCAAGAAGATTCCAAATAATTCAAACAATAGTCGTTTGAAATATGATTACCATATTATTGTAATGATAAATAATATGATTTTTTTCATTTTTTCACATAAATTATATGGGCATAATGAGTCTTTATGATATCTACATAATTTTTGAAAATTTTAATCCAACATAAAATATATATTTTTCGAAAAGTATTAATATAAATAAACATTACATAAATGAAACTAAATTAAAAATGTGTTAAATAAAAAAAAAGGTTGATATTACTATTTTATAAACAAAGTAATATAATTTGTTATTTAGAGAAAAATATGTCAATTATGAACTATATCCGGTCAAAAAAAAATTAATTATAAACTATATAATTATAAAAACATTGTAGTATTCATATTTCAAAAGACCGCTATAAAATTTTAAGATTTTTTCCCTACATTTAAGAATTCTTCCAACGTGAAAATGAGTGTATTTTTTATTATGAAGTAGTTTATTGCCTTTTACTTATCTATTCTTCTTTATGTTTATATTTTTGCTTCCACTTTGCACTCACAACCCTAGCAAACATAACTTTTATAAAAGATGGAATTAATTGCCTATTTAATATGTGGTAATCCTTTTGTTTTTAATAGGACCTTTTGTCAAAAAAACTACCTATTAAAACCCCATTTTTGTGAGAAACTAGCTACCTAATTAAAAAAAGGTTGTAATAAACTACTTAATAAAGGTAAAATGTTGTAAAAAAACTACCTAAGAAAAGGTGAAATGTTGTAAAATACTTCCCATACCGGATTTTCACCGTTAACCGACCTCAAAACACTCTCGAAACCACCGCTTTCATTCCCAAACTAACACAATCAACTTGCTTGAAATCGCCTCCACCACACCTAAACCACCTTTCAACCCCAAAACCACCACCTCTAACCCCAAAAACCACCATCCCAAGGCACTTATCTACCCTCACCAACTTGGAATATCCCCCAACCACCCCGAAAATAACCTTATTACCTTGAAAACCAAACCTCATGCTGGTTTCGGGGGTGGTTTAAGATGGATCAACGTTGTAAAATTAAGTCAACGGTGGAAATTCGGTCAAATGTATTATCTTACAACATTTTACCTTTTATTAGGTAGTTTCTTACAACATTTTTTTTATTAGGTAGTTTCTCACAAAATTTAGGTTTTATTAGGTAGCTTCTCACAAAAAGCGACAACTTTTTCATAAACCTCTTTTCTTTTTTTCTTTTTTTTTTTTTTAACAAAAAAAATTAAGTGACACACTTTTGGAAATGTTGTACTATTTTTAATCACATTTCTTCTTTGGTCGTCCTCACTACTTTGTTAATACATCCTTCGATTTTTTAGTCGCAATGTTGGAGATTTCACACTTGTAATGCATATTCTATAATTTTAATAGCTTAAGTTTTATTTTGTTGAAAATTATCATGTAAATTTGGTATGTTGAAAGTAAATTCGAGATCCCATATGACTATATGTTTTCCAACATATAAATCACAAAAGACGATTAAAAAAGCGTGTTTGAATAGTGTAAAATTCTAAAAGTTGCAATTAAAAAAAACGTAGAAAGTATTTGTTCTCTCTCCTCATGGTTCTCACATTTATTACTTTATTATTGTTCTCATAAAAGCATCGTAATATTTAATTCTCCAATAAATCACCATATACATACACACCCTATATATTTCTCCAAAATCTCCGCGTAAATATAGTGTATTACTTAAGAAATTGAGGAAGTTATATATGGTGGTTAGAAATGAATTTGTATGTAAATTTATAAAGAGAATTTTATCTCATTCTCATGGCACAACTAGATTTGTAATGAAATTGTCCTTCTGAGTTTTGATAATATTATAGATTTGCATTACCAAAGCGTTAGTTAGCTAAAAAATGACCTTAAAGGAAAATGATATGGTGAATACCTTTTTTTTTTCGGCATGGAAAAGGATGTAAAGACCAAGAACCATACAAAGTGAATAGATAGTCTTCCGGTTTGGATATGATATTCAAGATATTTCCGTCAAATGTTTGGGAAGAACAAATAAAAAGCTAATCAACTCTGTTGAATAAATTATTTTACTATATAACTAGGATACAAACTTATATTTGGTAGGCTAAAACCTAAAGGTGACCTTGACATAATTGACTTATTTGGTATAGGACTATAGATAGTGAACCGTAGTGGACACGGCCAGCACGAATTTCTTCAAGTTATACCATAGTACAAGATTGAAGATACTTGCATCCTCTAGGGGTGAATAAAAGAGAAGCCTCATCAGAACTTAAAGACTTGCTTTCCAAATAAAATGTGCTAGAACTTGAAGCATAATGGCTGATTGAACCTTCCA